ATATGTATACATATATATATGTATACATATGTATATGTTTACATACATATGCATATATATATATATATAAGCTATCATTCTGTTTTGAAAGCTTACGAAAACATGCAGCACGTAACATATGACCACGCACTTAAATCATGGATTTTATTTTGAAATCAAAAGTTTCTCAAACACGTCGATTCAGTTTCAACTGTGTTTACTCCATCTACCACATTAGTTTGTCCTGACTTTTATATTTCACATTTATCACTGGATTTATTGCGTGATCTCGCATTTCCTGCACATGCATCTGCAAGCTCTTAGATGAACCGGTCCGTTCCTGAACCGACCCGCAGCTGAGACGCATGTAAGATCGGGGTAGGAAATGCAGCATGTGAAAGAAAAAAGTAGGAGGAAAAGTGATTTTATTTTAATCAGAAATATAAGACAAAAGCTCCAGAAGCCAAAGGAAATCAGTTTTCACCAACGTACACATGTTGAGGACCAGGGGACATGCACAGGACATGTCCTGCTTTTCTTCTACAGCGAAGGCAGGGTCATATTTTGACAATTTATGCTGTATTTTTAAACATTTTAACAATATTGTAAAATTCTTGTTGTTTGTAAAGCCAGACTGTAGCTTTATTATAAGGTACAGGCAGTAATTGTTAAAATATAAAATAAAAAAACCTTTGAAAGCAGTGGAACTCAGTGCTGTAATGATTAAAAACACCCCAACTTCTACCTGCAGAATAGTTTGTTTACAACAAAATAAAAATTAAAGTCCAGTATGCTTTACTCTCAACAATTCTCTACATTTGTCTGGCTTGAATAAAGCATGTTTGACCCAAAACCACTGTATCTTGGAAACAGTTGAGGAATATCAGTGCTTTCTTCTCACACCAAAACAATGTGTTTGAGGAAAAAACTAACTGTTGTGAATTTTACTTTTTGAGTGCCAATACCTACTAATGGTTATTGATTTAGTGGGGGGGGCATGGGGTTGTATTTATGTTTGCAAAGATGAATGTTAAAAATTCAATTTTTTTTATTTTAAAGCCAAATGCTGGTGGTGTCCCTCCTTCAGAAACCAGTGAAGATCCATGAAGTCTCTCTCTTTGTGGCCTTTTCCTCATCTGAAACCTGTGGTGATGATGAAGGCAGCTGAAAACAACATCCTGCAGCTGCATTTCAGTGCAAACACTAATGGATTTACTGTAGTTTTACTGTTTTTCTTCTTTTATTAGTAAATTTGCATTTAACAATGTGTTCACATTTTCAGTGTTATTTGTAATAATTTTTGCATTAGTATGAAAATTCAGATTTGTATCTTGCATTCTTRTATTCTTTTAAAGGTGGTGGTGAGAATTTCCCATGTTGAGAATCTTGCTAGAGATTTAAATGATAACTACAAACAGATGCATTTTTTAGTGTTGCTTTGTATTGTTTGTACTAAACAAACAACTGACTGTGTGGGTACCCTCTCCAAAAGTCCTACCTAAAAGCCTGGTGTCGTCCCGTGCTCCGAGGAGCTTGGAGAAAAATGTGCAGGAAATGCGAGATCGCACAATAAATCCAGTGATAAATGTTCAAGTCTGAGCAAAAGAAGTCTTTCTGTGGAAGATGGACTGAACACAGTTGAAACTGCGTCACTGTTGACTTTTTGAAACTTCTGATTTCAGAATAAAATCCATGTGTATCATGTGTGTATAAATATGTTGCAAGCTGCATGTTTCCATCTGCTTCCTAATGATGATGCATTTTGACAGAATTTATGTATAAATATATTCATATAATTATTAATATAGCAAACATTTGGACAAAATTTGTCTTTCTTTGGGTATTTATTTTGTAAAAACAGAAGTTGTGCTCGTTCTTCTTCCTGTTGGTGCGGTGTGCTTTTTGTAAATTGACTCTGGAGCAGCTCCGGCGTTGGGCAAAAGATTAATCTAATTTTGGCGGATCTCGGTCCACTCGCTGCTCTGCACCATCATGAGGAGCCAGTGTAAATACTCTTATTTATTATAATGGTTGAATATTTACTGCAGAGGTTGGACCAGAGCAGAACAGCATAATGTAAATTGAGGATTAAGTTCTATCTCCCTCTGGGCCCGACAAGGTCCAGACTCACTCTGGGCCCCAACCCAGGCCTCATATGGGCCCGGGCAGGGGGCGTGCCGCCTCCCAGCCCTCCCTGAAGCTCCGCCCCTGTTCGGACCAAGAACATGTGGAACAACAAAGAAATTGTATTGTTTGCCTTCAATAACTTAAGGTACAACTTAAACTATCAAACAAATGCTGATTCGTTCTAATGTTCAAGCACATAAATATTAAAATAACCATGAAATAAACATTTGAAACTAATAAATGTTCAAAACATTTGTCTTAACAGGTCTAACACTGGAAACATGTTAGAAAAACCCAAACTGTTGTTTTGAGTTTTTTGTTGTAAAACCAGAGCTTACATTGTTGGAAAAGAAAAGAGCTGGTACTAAGTGAGCTCTGGCTCCAGTTTAGCTCTGAAACCTGTTTGGTTAAAACAAACCAACATTGTGACCTGAGCAGTCCAACAAGAGATGTATGTGTGAATATACGTAAAGCTACAGTTGTCCTTTAATGTCCTGTTCATGTGTTTCAGTGGTTCCTGAAGGGGGTCAGGTGCTGATTAAAGAAGATCCTGAAGAACAGAAGCCTGATGTGGACCAGCAGGACCAAGAACACCTCCACATAAAAAAAGAGGAGGAGGAGGAACAACTGTGGAGCAGTCTGGGAGCAGAGCAGCTCAATGTGAAGGAGGAGACTGATGCCACCAACTTTACATTCACTGCAGTT